AATGAAAACGTACTTACAGTCTGTGAGTCAGAACAGCCGGGATTGTAGTCTACTCTCCCAGGATCAGGAAACAGTCCTCCATAAACGAGAATGCTTGAGAACGGCGCGGCCGGCGGGCTTGAGGCAACCACATGTGACGACCCCGGGCTGGACTCCGCTTCGTCCACGGTGAAAGCTGTTCCGGCGATCCACAGCGCAAAGTTGATGTATTTCTTTGGATTTGAGACTTTAGTCTTTGCAACTTTACAGATCTTCTTTATGCACCAAGAGCTTGTAACACTCCAAAGAGAAAGGAAAAATTTAAATCGCATCATATGACCCCTTTAAAGTTAAGATACTGGGACTTCACCTCATGGACATAGGAAAGAAAACAAAGCTTTTCCACTTTTCAGTCAGGTTAACATATATTCATTTAAAAAAACAATATAACCTAATACTATTATAGGTTTTTTATATTGTGAATCAGTGTTTATTTTTATATCTTCAGGTTTTATTTTCACTTTAGTTTAAATTTGATTAATTTTGTTAATAAAACCTGTGACTTATGTAAAACATGAATTAAGATATTTTGAAGAATGATAGGGACCAAACAGTTTCAGGTTCCATTGACTTTCATATAATTCTTTAATGGGAACTGAAACTCTTAAGTAACCAACATTCTTCCAAATCTTCTTTTATGTTCCACAGAATAAACTCGTACAGGTTTGAAACAAAACTCTGTTCAGATGGGTTCTGTTTTTAATATTAATTTAATATTTTTAATAGTTCTAATCAAAAGAATATGATTGTTAAAGTAAAGCTACTATATGACCAATGGCTCACAAGATTGTTTATAATGAACAGAGCGTTTATTACCACTGATTCTGAACTAGATATGATTTATTTCCGGTTTATTATGACATCATGAAAGCATTACAGACGTTTTCACAAAAAAACTGCAGTAAAACTCCACAAGGCATTTTTGTTTAATGCTTACAAGCAGGTGTCAACATTGAAGGAATGCTTGGTTGTGCACTGTATATTAATAGGCTAGATTTCACTTATTAAAGGCACTGCCCTGAACTATAAAGAAAAGAAAACAGAAAAAAAAAACATATACCAAACATATACAAAAGTAGCGGTTCAACATATAAAGACCCAGTCTAGATGAGTGAGTGTGAACATTTACAGATTGTGAAGATAACAGCATTGCGGTCACATTTACCGCTCTTCAGCGAGTTTTCGCGGGCGAAATCCAAGTCCACCTGATCGGGAGTTTCGCGTGAGAGCGAACCATTTCCCGCGCACAGATTTTCCAACAGGATTCGCCGCTTTGAGCAAAAGAAAGTGGCGAAAATTTGGTTTGAAACCGTTTTCTGTGTGAGCTTAATACATCGCTACACTACTGATAATAAATAAAAAAAATGTTGCCCGTGAAATTCTATAAAGACCCAGTCTAGAAGTGAGTGTCTGAACATTTACAGATTGTGAAGATAACAGCATTGCGGTCACATTTACCGCTCTTCAGCGAGTTTTCGCGGGCGAAATCCAAGTCCACCTGATCGGGAGTTTCGCGTGAGAGCGAACCATTTCCCGCGCACAGATTTTCCAACAGGATTCGCCGCTTTGAGCAAAAGAAAGTGGCGAAAATTTGGTTTGAAACCGTTTTCTGTGTGAGCTTAATACATCGCTACACTACTGATAATAAATAAAAAAAATGTTGCCCGTGAAATTCCGCTAACGTGACCGCACCGGAACAGAGGATTGCTGCAGTAACGTTACATGTTTCAAGCACCAATTCAACAGGAACATAACATGGAGAAACAGGTAAATAATTTGTAAACCTACGATATAACCTGACTCTTGAGTGTCTTTTCAAATGTAAAACACTACTATATGTATAACCAGAGTAAAAGAAAAAGACATGTTATTTTAGGTTAATGTTTAGTAAACCCTATGTAAATAATAGCAAGTGTTTGCTATACAGATCTTCTATACACACTTAAATATTTAAAAGACCATTTAGGTTAATTAATTTTGTCTTCAGTCACTGTTTGTTCTCCATCTGCCCAGTTTTGTAATCATATTACAACAACCTGTGCTTTAACTCTCTTTCTCAACCTTGGACTTCCCCCTCTGGGCCCGGTTCTCTGAGAACCATAAAAAGCATTCATTTTATCTCAAAGAGGAGGAACACCAATTTTGACAATTGTTAAAGTGTTTTATTCAAGTAAAGAGAGTCCTCCTTAAACCAAAAATAAACTAAAGTGAAGGTGGCGGAAGAACTATCCATCTAAAGAGAAATTTCACCAGAAAGAAGAGATTTTGACACTCCTTGACTTCCACATAATATCATTTGTGGTAATCATGGAATTCTGGGAAGGGCTCTGTGATGTTTACCCTGTGAACTGCAGTGATCATTCACCAGTAAGCAACCGGAATCCTCCTTTTTGCTATAAATACAGAAACAAAAGAGCTACGTGATGATACCATATGAACATAAATGCACATAGTGCCTGCACTTGAGCAAAGCACCACATGGGGACAGAAATATTTTGTACATAAAAAACAAACTGCATATGTGATAAACAGGCTTTTAAATAGAGGCGATGGTGAAAGTGAATGTTACAGTCGATGACCGTTCAAAATCTGATTGGCTGTCGTCGATACCGACGTCTTGAAGAAATTATGCTCTTTTAGTTTCAAGTGCTCAGACAGGTCCAGCTTTATCTTCGCCTCTTCAGTGTCACTATGAATCGCTGCTATCAACTCGTCTGGGAAGAAGACACAACCGTGAGTTACTGTAACAGAATGAGTGTGTTTGGGTGGGTGAACGGGGTGTTGTGGCATCAGTGAGATCATGTGATGTGGGAGTGAGTTCAAGAGAGCAGCTCAGAGTCTTACCAAGTGATTCGAATCCTCTCTCAGGACGAATGTAGCCGACCATGGCCACACTCAACATTTGACCGTAGAAATCTTCCTTAAACTTGTGGATCACATGTGTTTCCTGTTACACAGAGAGATAAATACATGATATCTGACATAAGAGATGTACTATTAATCTATACTGCTATTACATAATACCATTTAATGAATGCAAAGATATCAACGGGTCTATAGCTTGTAGATGTCTGCACACTAGAAAGGATGACATGGACATACCATGGACTTCTTTGTGTTTTTGTAGTAAGGGTTCCAGCCGATGCTCATCACCATCTTGTGAATGTCTCCGTTATCCACGCATGCCCACCCGTAGTAGATTCCAGTGCTAATGTCAGCAGGGAGATTGTCTACAACCGACTCTGGGAAGTTCGCTGGGATGGGAATGGAAAGAAAACATTAGCTCTAGTAAGAATAAATACTGGCTTCATATTTTCTTTAATCAGTGTTTATATTTTGAGACATGACAAACTTGACAAGTAAGGGATAATTTACAGCCATTTATTATCAGAGAATACTTTGCTACCTGACAGATAAAAATACATGCACATGAAGTCATGATTTTACCGTATTTTCCAGATTATGAGGGGGCATTTACACAACACTGTTTTCAACTACAAACAGAAAACTTTAGGCATTTTGAAAACGGGTTTTAAAGTGCAAGTTCTTGAAAACGATACTGTTACTGTCTCTATGTAATCTACAAAATTAGAATTTCTAAAAATGGTAACGAATGCCAGTATCAGCAGAACCATTCAGGCATCACTAGCGTCAATATAAAACATGATACAGGAAACACAAAAGTAGTGTTGCCATGGACACAGACATAGTGTGAGCTACCATGAGGTTAATCAATGGTATGTGCTTTTCTAGAAGCCATCAGACTGCATTATTTCAACTTATTTTTTTTAAAACGGTTGTTTAACAGCTGTATTTCTGGTGAAAAAACTACATTGCTCATGATTCTGAAGAGAAATCCACCAATCAGAGAATAAGGTCAAGCAAATTGCCAAAACTCCCTTTAAGCACTGTGAGTGCAGTCAGTTTCCCTGCGCTCTCAAACTACTTAAATTACTTATATTACTTATACTGCAATAAACCTACAATATATTGTTTCTCTTTCTCTTTTCATATTTCTCCATCGATTTTAAATGGGTTGTCATTCACAACGCTTCATGGGATTGTAGTTCTTTCCCTCGTTAAAGCTGTTAAGTACAGTCTTGTCATTTTGTCCGATTTTCAAGTACTTTTTGCTTCAAACCAAAGATTGTAATTTTGTGATTCACCTCTTAGCTCGTTAGTTTGGTTCATTACTTCTAACTCTTTAAGACTTCTATAAAATCCCTATGGGAAAAATGAATAGGGAACCAAGGCCGCTGACAGATGGGCGGGCACTGTTGCGCTCACGGTCGTGTCTGGCCAATCACAATCAAACATTTTACAGAAGCGTGTTGTAAGACCTATAACCTGTAAGTGAAGTTATATAATAATATGGCCATTGCTTTTGCTGAACGGTAACATTCATTACAAGAGTAAACTTACTGGTGTGATGTTTACAACTGATATTAAACTGAATACGTTTAATTTCAAGCAAACTCTTTATTACACGTTTCTCGAATGACATCAACATGAATTGATCTCCTATTGAGTGTAAAGAAAGTCAAATAATTAACAGCCTGTTTTTAATACAAGTTTAATGATTAGTTCACCTAGGGCTGGACAATAATTCAATATCAATATGTATCATGATATAATTTTTTTCAATAACGGTGATATGATTTTTTAACACATTTCCGATATTTCGATATACATTACCAGTTTCCCATACATTGATTTATTTGTGCCGTTTGACTTCGTTGAATAAACATGAGCACTGCACGTTTCAAAATCATAACACGGCGCGGGTGTTTTATATGAATGTATCTCTGAAGGGAATGGACTGTCTTCAGAAAAGTTTCGAAGGCGTTTTCATTTTATCTGATAAAGAAGCATTCATTACTCGTCATTGATTACAGCCATTACTGGAGAAACCGCTAGTTTTATCACTCTAAAAGCGCCTCCTGCTGCCAGAGAATGAGTTTTCATTTTAAATAAGCCCGTCTCCAGCAACATTTCCAGTTTTTGTTGTTGTTCAATTTTTTTGTTTTCTGCAGCGACTCGGAGCACTTTTCATACCCTTTTTTCTGACTGAAGCACATTTGTTTCAATCTATAAGAATAATCAGCCTACACTACCAGTCAAAAGTTTTTGAACAGTAAGATTTTTAAAGGTTTTTTTTTTTTTTAAGAATTCTCTTCTGCTCACCAAGGCTGCATTTATTTGATCCAAAGTACAGCAAAAACAGTAAAATGTTAAAATATTTTTACTATTTAAAATTGCTTTATATTTGAATAGATTTTAAAATGTAATTTATTCCTGTGATCATACATAGGTAAATTTTCAGCATCATTACTCCAGTCTTCAGTGTCACATGATCCTTCAGAAATCATTCTAATATGCTGATTTGCTGATTATCAATATTTAAAACAGTTGAGTAAAATTTTTTTTTCAGGATTCTTTGATGAATAGAAAGATCCAAAGATCAGCATTTATCTGAAATAAAAAGCTTTTGTAACATTATACACTATTCCATTCAGTATAATTTTTATTATTTTTTTGGGAAAGAAATGATAGAAATTAATACTTTTATTTAGCAAGGATGCTTAAAATTGATCAAAAGTGATGATAAAGGCATTTATAATGTTACAAAAGATTTCTATTTCAGATAAATAGTGTTCATATCGATATCGGAAATATATCGTATCGACCGAAATTAAGAAATATATCGTGATATCAATTTAGGCCATATCGTCCAGCCCTATGTGATACTGATTGTAAAGTTGTACTCTTTCTTACTTCCCTTCGGATGTTTATTCATGTTTATTTTGTGCTGAAACTGCTATTAATGTGGAGGAGATGATCAGTTCACGTGCGCCTCGCGCTGC